GTAAGCTGCTCAAACTCAAGAACAAGGGATTTCAAGTCCATTTAGTACAACAGGAAAAAACAAAGGATTGAACAATAGGAGCCAAGAGTTGATGGAAACAAACCATGTCATACTCATCAAGACCCATATCTCCACCTTGATTTTCTTCCTCCACATCCTCGACAAAATCAGACATGTCCCCTTCATCCGCCATATAATCGAACTGATAGCCCTGCTGGTAAGACATGCTCTATCTGCATTCAAGTTCACAATTTCAACATCTTCAATACAATTCCAGCACACTTAATAATCACCAAACACACCCAGACATACTTTTCTGGCATTGTTGTCATTATGAGGAAGTTTGACTGGAGCTTCTCGCATCTGTATAATGCCTGCAATTTGAAATTAGACACCCTATGAGATCTTGTGGAGAATTTCCAAACGCAGCTCTGATCACATAATCCTCATTACACTCAATTCATAACTCATAAGTAATTGCTGTAAGAGTAACTAAGCAAAATAAGTTCAAGCTCATACAGAAATTTCATCCTGTAAACTGTTTTTCGAACAATACTGTTTTGTTTTCATGCATATCCTAGATACCAACAAACTGCGAAATGGATATTTTAATAACACTACTACCTTGACATGGTTGATTGGAAATCAAATACAACTTCCCATGAACTCAATTCCACGTCACCAACCTGCTCACTCAACGAGCAACAACAGCAGTAAGTAATAGACCTGCGCAATATCATTCTTGCCATGTTGAAGTACCATATAACATAGTGAATTATCTGTACCTAGTACATAAGTATGTGAACAACGATGCATTTAAACAAGTGCAGAGATATGAATAATAAAAACCTGAATTTCTGACCTTCTGATGATTCACCATGAAAATGGCTTTGGAGCAGTAAAAAAATTCTAGCAGCAGAGACCTGCTGCATATTCTCATTAAGCAGCATCATCTGAAAGCCTTGGTGCAGAACATCGAAACTATGTCGTATGGATACAATTTAGGAAATGTGAGTTGATACTGCAAAATCACAATTTTCCAAAAACTAGATATGAAGACCACAAGGAATATTACAATCAAATAAGATTCTAACGAATTGTTTTGTTTTCATATTAACTTATTTAACATCTTAAAATGCCCACCAAGATGCCCTTTTTCAATCCTACCCCCCATTTCTTCTATAGAAATTTTACAAATAACCCCTTCTACTCTTGGTTGTATCCCTTGTGTATCCATCGTATATGTCTCACACATATCCATCCCATACCCAAAAATCAAAATTTCCAAGAAATTAACAAGATACAGATTTGGAATATCTGATATCCATCAAGGCATCATGGGGATGCATTGGTATTGGATCCTGCATTCTCAAGATTTTTGGGGTAACCATGCTACGAAATTATATAAGATGACTTACCTCCTTTGAATAGGTAGGAGATAAAAGTTCTAGTTTTCTTGAATTTCTGGCCGCTTCACAAAGTGGAGTAAAAATGTAGTCACTTCATTAAGCAAGCAACAGTCATTCACATCCTCATGTTGCATATACTCGCACACGGACTGTGATAGAAATGCGCTCCACTCCTCAATAGAACCGTCAACCAGGTCACCAGGTCCAGTGAGTCATCAGATGGTGCATGAGTAACAAACAATGATGGTCTAGAAAACACACTAATTTCTGTCAGATGTCTCTTCTTGCATATGCCAATGGATATCCTGTGCAAATAATTGAGATATATAAGAACAATAAAAAACAAAAACAAATAATTTACAGTGACAAGCAGAGGCAATTAGATATCAGCAACACCAACTGTTTCAGATTACAGCTTCCCATACTTTTGAAGTTTGCACCAAACAAGCATAGATTACCTCTTGATAATAGTTTTAAAATTTGATAAAACAAAATAAATAAAGCATATTATCTAAGTCATTAAATAGAAATTTTGGGAGAAAAAAAAAATTGTTCTGTTTTTTATTTAAAAAAAAAAAAAAAGGAAAACAAGAAGCCAACGTAAGAACTAGAGAGCAGAAGCAATCCTACTGGCTACTACTGTGGTATCAAAGATCTGTGTGATCATTATGTTTCAAAGATCTTTCCAAAATGAATCTAAAATTCTGGACTAACCTCTAAATGCTACAGAAAGGGTCTCTACAAACCTTAAAAAAAAAAACACAAAAGACAACTTATAGGTAGATACTGTAAATTACTGCAGCAAAGTAAGATAGGTCATCCACAACAAATCAGAAGGCACTTATGTGAAATGCTACCGAGACAGTAAGGCAAAGTTGAGAGATAAGAACAAAACTGCTGATGAAGATTGTTCAAGTAACCACCTGATCTTTACAACAAAGAAAATTCGCTTCCAAGAAATAGAGGGCATCATGATGAGGAACTCCCGGACAGTGGGTTGACTCCTACAGACAAGTCGGCCAAACCATTCAACATAAGATACACAACAAACATTCATTCAGTAGTTGTCCATGAGTTCCAATATTGTCACATTTTCTTAATTCATTCTTTAATAGTCAATAATGCTTAAGGTCCATGCACAGATGTAAAAATGCATGGCACTCATAAATTTACATGCTGATACAGAACAAATAGACTTGTTACCGTGCTCCTTAATTGTGCATGTGCTCGCACACACAAAATGTCACATTAATTCACACTTCCCAAATTAAAACCAGTATAGAAGAAGTAGTTCAACGTTTTATCTATGCAATATTTCTTAAATGCAAATTAGATGTTCTCTATGCACAATTCTTTATGAGCACTGGATTGAGGTTTATTTGGTTAGGGTTTGATTGTGGGGCTTAGGGATATAAAGGTAAAGGCCTAAGAAATAAAAGCCATAGGAATTTTTTTTTTTTTTTTTTTCATTTTCTAGGGCATTAAATGTATCATATTCCCACCTAAAAGATAGAACCAAATAAAGAAAAGAAATGATTGAAAATATACATAATGAGGAAAAAGACATTTTCATGTAAAAGAAATGGTTGAAAACTACAGTACGGAAGAAAAGACGAATTAGAGAGACAAACCATGTGGCATATGCTATCTGTAGTTGAAGAGCTTCATCCCACTTGTTAGCTTTAATAAGCCCTTTAATAAGATGAAAGAATGTATCCAGCTCTGGAAAACCACCATGCCTCATCATGTCTGCAAACATCTCCAGTGCCTTACCGACCTTATTTGCATGTGAAAGACTCTCAATCAATGAAGTGTACATATTCTTGTTCACAGATGTAAACGGTGAAGATGACGAAATCTCTTTAAGCAGCTCAAGAGCCACTTCCAACCTTCCAGCCTTTACAAAATTATCAATCAGAACTTCGTATATGTGAGTAATTGGCACTGTGTCACATTCACTCATCTCATTTAAAAGCCCAAGAGAGGTCATGAACTCTCTATTGTAACCTTCAACAACATTACGGTAGCCTACCATATGCTTAGGCCAATGTGTTTGTTTCATTTGATCCAAAAGCTTATGAGCTTCATCCAGTAGTCCAGTTGAACAGCAATGATTTATCAAAACCCCGTAGGAGATAAAATTTGGAGCACAACCCTTAGAGCTCATTTGTTTAAAAAGCTCAACACACTTTTCGATATTACCTGCTTTCCCAAAGCCATCTATCATTGCAGTATAAGTCACAACATTCGGATAACACCCTTTTTCTTCCATCATCAGCACAAGCTTATAGGCTTCATCTGTTTTTCCAACTTTACACAGGGCATCAATCATCTCTGTGTAGATAACAACATTTGGTGCACAAGAGTTTTCTAACATTTTGGACAAGACTTTTAAAGCGAGATCCAGTCTTTTATCCTTAAACAACCTATCAATCAAAGAACTGTACGTATACACATTTGGACTGTACCCTTGCTCTGACATCTTAGCAAACACCTCTTGTGCTTCATCTAGCTTCCCATACTTGCAAAATCCATCTATAAGAGCATCATAATAATATGGTTAGGTTCACAACCTTCTTCTGACATAGCATGCAATAAATCACGGGCCTCTTTAACCTTGTGTGCTTTGCATAAACTATCCACCAAAGCCCCATAAGTATAGACATTAGGTTGTCTAATACTCTGATCATCACTTCCAATATACTTATCAACATCAGGGACGTCCACATTACCTCTCATTCTCTCATATATCTGGCAAGCCTTTTCAATTCTACCAGCTTTACAATGACCATCAATTAAAGCAGTATAAGTAATAACATTAGGACTGCAACCTTCAGTCAACATCATCTCAAAGAGTTGATCAGCAACAGACACCTTCTTTGCTTTAAGGTATGCATGTATAAGATCAGTACATGTCACCACGTTTGGAGCACAACCATTTCGTATCATTTCATTAAACCAGCTCCGAGATTGTTCAATAAGACCAGCTTTACAAAAACTACCAATTAAAATAGTATAGGTATAGACATCAGGAACAATACTATTCCTTTTCATTTCTTTAAACAACAAAAATGCTTGTTCTACCTTGGAGGCATTACACAAAAAGCCAATAACATTAGCATACGTACTAGTGTCAGGAACAAAACCCCTGTTCATCATTTCGCTGACAACCTTATAGGCTTTCTTAAATTTTCCAGCACCGCAAAGACACCATGCAAAATTGCTCACATTGACCTTACTTAGCATAACCCCTGCATCAAGCATCTCACCATAAGCTTTTTCAGACAAATCTAACATATTTGGGCCTGGTAATTCCTTGTTTCCACATATACCATCCATCAAGATATTGTAAACCACGTAGCCTGTCTGGCACTCACATCTTACCATTTTCTTAAGTAACTTATGAGCCTAAGAGTAATCTCCGGACCTCCAATAAGCATGTACAAGAGAACTAAATATCTGAGGGCTTGGAATACGACCTTCTGTGATCATCATACTAAGAATTCTCTTGCACCTACCGAGCTGTCTTTTCTTCAAACACCCACAAAGCAAAGTCCAATAGGTCACAACATTAGGAATGCAAGAATCGCATCACATTCTGTTCAAAAAATCCATAGCTTCCTCAAAAAGTGAAGCTTCACACAACCCAGATATCATCTTCGTGTAAAGAATAGTATTGGGCACAAACTCTTCCTTCTCAACCAATGCAAGAGCTTCCTTCCACCTCCCAGCTTTGCAAAGGGTGTGAACAAATGAACCAAATGTATACTCATCCATCTTAAACCCTGAATCCAAGATCTCCACATGGACCAAGTGTGCTGTGTCCAACTTATCTGCTTCTAGAAACACTTGAACTAAAGCATTGTAAGTTGCTTGAGTTGGCTTGTATCCGATATCCTTAAGCCTCCCCAGCTCTTCCAAAGCTACATTCCACAACCCATTTCGGCAGTACTTCCGAATCAACACATTAAGCAACTTCCTAAGCACCTCTCTATCATCACCCTTAATTTCTTGCAGAAAATATTCCGCTACCCTCTTATTACCACACTCCAATAACTCTAACAACGCGTTGTACAAGGGAGCAGTGTGACTATACCCAATTTGTTTACCTGCACATATGAAAAATTTCACACCCAATTCAGGATTTTGTATAAGCTTCAACACCTCCACCACCAGAGTTTCATTCAGATTATCCCTAAACTTCCTAAGAAACTTCTTCGTTCATCAAACTCATCATTATTATTCCTGATAGCATTCGAAATCAAAATGGCATTGTTAGAAAACTTAGCGGATTCAAATTTTGGTATCGAAGACCCACCACCAGCACTGGTATCCAACACCGAATCGCGCAGAGAGGCGAATTCCTCTGCCGAAATAGACTCAACTCCAGAACTCTCCGGCTTGAACAAATAGTTGGGATCGACCAGACCATCGAGATTGTCCTGCGAAGAAGCGCAAAGTAATCTGGGGAAGCAAAGCTTTAGACTTTGGTGGGAGGATTTGGATGGAGAAGGGAATGGTTGTGATGGGTTTGTGGAGAAAAATGGGTTGGGCTTCAGAGGGGACGGAGATATGGCGGAAATTGATTGCCAGAGGAGAGTTTTCAACCGCCTTCTGCTCATTTTTGAGCTGCGAGAAGCTTGGAGCGGGTGATTGTTTTCAGGGTTTATGCTGGGGTTTTGTTTTCAGGCCGGGTTTAAAACTGGTTTTGAAAAGACTAAAAAGCGCTTTTACATGTATTTGGAAGCAAAACACTGTGTCTTTAAAATTGACTGAAATCGGTTTTAAAGAAATTTCTGATCCTTCTTCCAAGAAATATTTAAGTATTTTTTTTCAAGATTTATTAGCATTTTTATTAAGAGTTGTTTCAAAAAATGTTTTCAATCATTTTAAAAGTACATCCAAACAAGCTCTTTAAATGCTTTATTTAAAATCACTTAAATATTTAACGGTTAACAACATTTTGCACTGTAGAGCATTTCCAACAGTTTTCTAAATGTAACTCTTCAAATATAAGTTTGTTGAACTATGTCGCGGTTTGACGACTAAAATTTGTTCATTCACAATTTTACTCCAACTGACTCCACACATTTTATAGTATTTTTAGGAGCTTTGTAGTGTAATTACCATTTCTAAGAAAAACTTCAAAAAAAAAAAGGATATTTTTAGTTTAGGTACCAATTGAAAAATCAATCCAATCATCTTATAAATATCACTGTACTTCAAAATAATGGAATGATTGCTACTCAATCTCACTAATTTTTTTGGTAACTCATGGCCGGCCAATCAACTTTCAGGTGACTTTTATGGCAACATTCGACTTTTTCGGTGATCGATTGGTCAACTATCCAGTGACTGGTGACCAGTAGATCAATCCTAAACCATTTTGAAAGAAAACATGATTTCAAAATGTCTTCAATGGGATTTGAACTCAAAACTACAAAATAAAACTATCAACAGACCGAATTCGGATCAGATCAAACTTAATTCATATCCAGATCCATTTATAATCAAATTAATGGATTCAAATCATTAGATCTAACTTGTCAATCCATATCCCATTTAGCATCGAATCAGATCAGATTAAGACCTAGCAAAGTTAGAATATCATTAGCAACCTCATTCTTTTATTATATATATATATTTTTTTTTTCTTTGAGTTTTATCACAAATGGTACTTTATATTTTGTCAATGCATCAATTTGGTCCCTTATATTTCAACTCATCAATTTCGTCATTTATCTGTTACTCCAATTGATCAGTGTGATGTGTGGGACCCATAGGGGCCTATAAAGCCAATCATAATGATGCCATATGGACTAATCATTCGTGTTTTTTTTTTTTTAAACAAACGATATTTTCTATACTAAAGAGGTGGGGAAGTGGACTAGTCATAATAATGTTATTCAAATTCACCGTTGGCAAGAATCAAACATAAGACTTCTCAATTACAAATGAAGTTGAATAACACCAAACTGTAATACTAAGTGACTAATCCTTCTTTTTTTAAAATAATTTAAAATTCTGAAACAATAAACAACCACTCTCACTCCCTGTATCCACTTGTAAAGCCAATCATAAGGCATTCTAGTTTTGACAAACAAAAAAGTTGGAATTTTCAAATGCTAGTGTTTTTATCCCAAATGGTCCATTATATTATGTCAACTTATTAGTTTGGTCCTTTATGTTCTAAACTCATCAATTTCGTTCTTCATCTCTTGCTTTGGTCGTCAATGTTGTCATTCCATCTTACCTTGTTAATGAAATCCGGTAGTGTATGATGGGGCACCCATATAAGGCCCGCAAAGCCAATTACGTAATGCCAAGTGGATTATGTGTAAAACAACAAATAATATAAATAAAAAAGATATAAACCCGGCCAAAATGAATTTAGGATACATTTTAAATGCAAATTCATTTGAATTTTAAGTAAGTAATAAAATCCTACAACGTCACTTAAAACAAAAATTACTGACATTGTGCGCTGGTTCCAATTTAAATATGACCGTTGTCTAAATGTGCCACATGGACAAATATTTTGAGGAATATCACGTGTTATTGCCAATCTACATACACCACATAGACAAACACTATAAGAGATATTGACGTGTTACTGCCAATCTGCATACACCACATGGACAAATACTATAAAAGATATTGACGTGTTACTGCCAATCCGCATATAACACGTGTGCCTTAAACGTATTTGATGGTAATTCTATATAAATCTATTCAATGTTATTGCCAATCCACGCACATTCAGTCTTCCTCAAATCACTATGCATTGCAATTCATATTGCTTTGTAATCACTCTTGTTCTTTGCTTTTATGTTCGACCTTTGTGCCATTCTCGACATCTTGCCAAATTGGCTTGAGCCATGAGGCTTGTTCAAATCCAATCACTGCAATCGGGTTCTAGGTTGGTAGAACAAGTTGTCTGAGGCAAGGGGTTTTTGCGGCTGCGTAGATCAAATGGTCATCGATTACAAACACAGAGAAATGGAAAACCAAGGAAGATAAATTCCCCAGCCGAGACGTGAAGCACTCTTCAATATTCCTTTCAGTGTTTCGCTTGATTGATCATCGGACCAAGTACACAATCTTCGAGGAGCATCGGAGAAGTTGAACTTTGGCAGAGTCAGGTCAAGCTGCATTCCAAGGAGCTTCAGACCCGAGTAAGAGGTATGAAATCTAGAAAATATAAAGTGATGAATAGTTTTAACAGCATATCATAGTCCATGTTTGCACAATTTTTAGCTCTGGATCTCTGTCATTTCGAAAGAGATTGTACCTCTACAATGACAGCTTGTCGATCCAAGTAGCTAAAAATTGGTGGCTCTCAACATAAATATATCTTGTCGTAGACTCGTAGAGAGTGTATCTTGGTGCTCTTTTGTTGTGGTTCTTAAGACTTTGACGACACATGCATGAAAGAAATGAGACAGGTTCTTATCGAGGGTATTTTAGGACTTAAAATTACAGAAAACTCCTTTGCTTTGTAACGGCAATCTAAACTTTCAATTTGTTGATTGGATACTTGAAGTGTTTATGTTTATGAAACTAAACCTTACATGCAGTCTGACATGTGTATGAGGAAAGATAATGAAACTAGCGGGACTCCTCTCAATTGTGTTCTAAGAGCACATATTTAGGACACAATTGGGTTTTTATTCCTTCCAATAATGTGCCCATATGACACAATTGGGAGTAATAATAAGCACCATGACGCTAGGTTAATTCTAGTTCCTCATACAGAAGTCAGATTGCATGTAGGGTTCAATCTAAGAAACATAAGACACTTCAAGTCTTCAAGTCTCCACCAACACATAGGAAGTTTTAGATTGCCGTTACAAAGCAAAGAGAGTTTTCTATAATTTCAAGCCTGGAACACCCTCTATAAGAACCTATCTCATTTCTTCCATGTATCATCACATAGTCCTCAGAGCTACAAAAAAATAGCACCAAGATATACTCTCTTAAGACTTGTAGCTCATAAGACTTGTGATGACACATGGAAGAAATGAGAAGGGTTCTTATAGAGGGTATCCTAGGACTTGAAATTGCAGAAAACTCATTTTGCTTTGTAACGACAATCTAAAACTTCCAATATGTTGGCGGGAGACTTGAAGTGTCTTATGTTTTTTAAACTGAAACCTGAATGCAGTCTAACATGTGTATGAGGAAATGGAATGAACCTAGCATCATGAGTGATTACTCCTCTCAATGAGCAAATATTGAGGACACAATTGGGTGCTTATCCCTACCAATAATGTGCCCATATGACATACTTGGGGGCCATAATAAACATCCATGAGGCTAAGCTTTTCCAATTCCACCTACAGATGTCAGATTGCATGCAGGGTTCAATCTGAGAAACATAAGATGCTTCAACTCTCCAACCAACGATTTGAAAGTTTTAAATTGCCGTTACACAGCAAAGAGAGTTCTCTGCAATTTCAAGTCTAAGGACATCCTCTTTTAGAACCTATCTCATTTCTTCCACGTCACTGTCATCACATAATCTTAAGAGACATAACAAAAGAGCACCAAGAAACACTCCGTGATAAGATGTATTTATGTTGATCATAATTCGAGCCACCAAATTGTAGCTACTTGGATGTACAAGTTGTATTTATTCAGGAACAATCTCTTCTACAATGGCAGAGGTCTAAAGTTTGAAACTGTGCGAATATGGACTACGCTATCCTCGTGCGAATATTCATCACTTCTAAATTATCTGAATTTGATATCCGTTTCTCGGGTTTGTAGGTCATGGAATGCAGCTTGCCGCAATCCAACCCATGGAAAAAAGCTTGACCTGATTGTGATCAAGATTATTTTGTTGCTTGGACATGCCAACAAGCCTTTGAGTAGTCCGTAAGAAGAAAGGCCAACATAGATGGAAAGAAGAAGAAAAGGCATGCTCAAGCAAATAAACAACGAGCATACAGCGGGTATGATATTCGAGTCTCCAATGTCCTTGGTGCATATATGCAGAATGGAATTGACTGAGAAAGCTGAGGCATTGCATCTGCACACATTGGAGAGAGACTGTCAACCAGATTATAACACATGGGAGTTCCTTATGGAAGGAAGGTTAACAAGCCATAACATAACAAGGCCATTGAAGCGATGAAAAAGGGGTTTAGTATGTTGCAAGATTGCCATTGGAGACCATCGGACAATACTGTAATGGCCTTGGCTGATTATTTCGAAAAGCATGGGAACATTGAGGATGCCAATTGGTATACCAGATTGTGCATCGAAACAAATCCGTTTTATGTTGTCACTAAAAAATTATGCATTGAAAAAATTCTTTTTAGATTGTGCACCGAAAGAAATCCATAAAAGAAATCTTTACAAATTCATAGAAATCTATAATAAACATACTTGCAAATCTGCCAAAATCCATATAGGATTGTAAAGCCCATTAAAATCCTTTAAAATCTGTCACTTAAAGAAAGTCCTTTAAAATCTGTCACTTAAAGAAAGTCCTTTAAAATCTTCTAAAATACAAATTGACTATAGTGCCATGAACTTGGTGGCTTTTTCTTTTTTTTTTTTTTTTTTTTTCTCTATACTTTGTGTGTTTCTTGTTCCACTACAATTGTCCTTTTGGGCA